GGACAGTGTTGGTGCAGAGGAGGACAGTGTTGGTGCAGAGGAGGACAGAGACGGTGCAGAGGAGGACAGTGTTGGTGCAGAGGAGGACAGAGACGGTGCAGAGGAGGACAGTGTTGGTGCAGAGAGAGAGGACAGAGGACGGAGGTGCAGAGGAGGACAGAGAGGTGCAGAGGACAGAGACAGAGAGGTGCAGAGGAGGACAGAGGTGCAGAGGAGGACAGAGAGGTGCAGAGGAGGACAGAGAGGTGCAGAGGAGGACAGAGGAGGACAGAGTGCAGAGGAGGACAGAGACAGAGAGGTGCAGAGGAGAGGACAGAGAGGTGCAGAGGAGGACAGAGAGTGCAGAGGAGGTGCAGAGGAGGACAGAGAGGTGCAGAGGAGGACAGAGAGGTGCAGAGGAGGACAGAGAGGTGCAGAGGAGGACAGAGAGGTGCAGAGGAGGACAGAGAGGTGCAGGTGCAGAGGAGGACAGAGAGGACAGAGAGTGCAGAGGAGGACAGAGAGGTGCAGAGGAGGACAGAGAGGTGCAGAGGAGGACAGTGTTGGTGCAGAGGAGGACAGAGAGGTGCAGAGGAGGACAGAGAGTGCAGAGGAGGACAGAGAGGTGCAGAGGAGGACAGAGAGGTGCAGAGGAGGACAGAGAGGTGCAGAGGAGGACAGTGTTGGTGCAGAGGAGGACAGAGAGGTGCAGAGGAGGACAGAGAGGTGCAGAGGAGGACAGAGAGGTGCAGAGGAGGACAGAGATGGTGCAGAGGAGGACAGAGCGGTGCAGAGGAGGACAGAGAGGTGCAGAGGAGGACAGTGCAGAGGAGGACAGAGAGGTGCAGAGGAGGACAGAGAGGTGCAGAGGAGGACAGAGAGGTGCAGAGGAGGACAGAGAGGTGCAGAGGAGGACAGAGCAGAGTGCAGAGGAGGACAGAGAGGTGCAGAGGAGGACAGAGAGGTGCAGAGGAGGACAGAGAGGTGCAGAGGAGGACTGACGGTGTAGGCCTGGTCCACGTTTCCTCTGGTCTGGTTCAGAGCTCTCGCCGCGTCTTTTCGGTTGAAGCCAAATCCGCTCAAAATAGAAATCGCTTCAAGACGAGAACGACGCTTCTGCCGCTCCCTCGCCTTCATCTCCTCACGCTCCTGCACAAAAGACCTGCTTTAGACCTGGTTTAGACCTGCTTTAGACCTGGTTTAGATCTGGTATAGTCCTGCTTTAGTCCTGGTCCAGACCTGTCTCTGGGAGCTGATGTGCAGTGGTTTAGTACTGGTTTAGTCCTGGTTTAGTCCTGGTTTAGTCCTGGTTTAGTCCTGGTTTAGTAGTCCTGGTTTAGTCCTGGTTTAGTCCAGACCTGTCTCTGGGAGCTGATGTGCAGTGGTTTAGTCCTGGTTTAGACCTGGTTTAGTCCTGGTTTAGTCCTGGTCCAGACCTGTCTCTGGGAGCTGATGTGCAGTGGTTTAGTCCTGGTTTAGACCTGGTTTAGTCCTGGTTTAGTCCTGGTCAGACCTGTCTCTGGAGCTGATGTGCAGTGGTTTAGTCCTGGTTTAGACCTGGTTTAGTCCTGGTTTAGTCCTGGTTTAGACCTGGTTTAGACCTGGTTTAGTCCTGGTTTAGTCCTGGTCCAGACCTGTCTCTGGGAGCTGATGTGCAGTGGTTTAGTCCTGGTTTAGTCCTGGTTTAGTCCTGGTTTAGTCCTGGTTTAGTCCTGGTTTAGTCCTGGTCCAGACCTGTCTCTGGGAGCTGATGTGCAGTGGTTTAGTCCTGGTTTAGACCTGGTTTAGTCCTGGTTTAGTCCTGGTCCAGACCTGTCTCTGGGAGCTGATGTGCAGTGGTTTAGTCCTGGTTTAGACCTGGTTTAGTCCTGGTTTAGTCCTGGTCCAGACCTGTCTCTGGGAGCTGATGTGCAGTGGTTTAGTCCTGGTTTAGACCTGGTTTAGTCCTGGTTTAGACCTGGTTTAGACCTGGTTTAGACCTGGTTTAGTCCTGGTTTAGTCCTGGTCCAGACCTGTCTCTGGGAGCTGATGTGCAGTGGTTTAGTCCTGGTTTAGTCCTGGTTTAGTCCTGGTTAGTCCTGGTTTAGTCCTGGTTTAGTCCTGGGTTTAGTCCTGGTCCAGACCTGTCTCTGGGAGCTGATGTGCAGTGGTTTAGTCCTGGTTTAGTCCTGGTTTAGTCCTGGTTTAGTCCTGGTTTAGTCCTGGTCCAGACCTGTCTCTGGGAGCTGATGTGCAGTGGTTTAGTCCTGGTTTAGTCCTGGTTTAGTCCTGGTTTAGTCCTGGTTTAGTCCTGGTCCAGACCTGTCTCTGGGAGCTGATGTGCAGTGGTTTAGTCCTGGTTTAGTCCTGGTTTAGTCCTGGTCCAGACCTGGTTTAGTCCTGGTTTAGTCCTGGTTTAGTCCTGGTTTAGTCCTGGTCCAGACCTGTCTCTGGGAGCTGATGTGCAGTGGTTTAGTCCTGGTTTAGTCCTGGTTTAGTCCTGGTTTAGTCCTGGTCCAGACCTGTCTCTGGGAGCTGATGTGCAGTGGTTTAGTCCTGGTTTAGACCTGGTTTAGTCCTGGTTTAGTCCTGGTCCAGACCTGTCTCTGGGAGCTGATGTGCAGTGGTTTAGACCTGGTTTAGTCCTGGTTTAGTCCTGGTTTAGTCCTGGTTTAGTCCTGGTCCAGACCTGTCTCTGGGAGCTGATGTGCAGTGGTTTAGTCCTGGTTTAGACCTGGTTTAGTCCTGGTTTAGTCCTGGTTTAGTCCTGGTCCAGACCTGTCTCTGGGAGCTGATGTGCAGTGGTTTAGTCCTGGTTTAGTCCTGGTTTAGACCTGGTTTAGTCCTGGTTTAGTCCTGGTTTAGTCCTGGTTTAGACCTGGTTTAGTCCTGGTTTAGTCCTGGTTTAGTCCTGGTCCAGACCTGTCTCTGGGAGCTGATGTGCAGTGGTTTAGACCTGGTTTAGTCCTGGTTTAGTCCTGGTTTAGTTCTGGTCCAGACCTGTCTCTGGGAGCTGATGTGCAGTGGTTTAGACCTGGTTTAGTCCTGGTTTAGTCCTGGTCCAGACCTGTCTCTGGGAGCTGATGTGCAGTGGTTTAGTCCTGGTTTAGTCCTGGTTTAGTCCTGGTTTAGTCCTGGTTTAGTCCTGGTTTAGTCCTGGTCCAGACCTGTCTCTGGGAGCTGATGTGCAGTGGTTTAGTCCTGGTTTAGTCCTGGTTTAGACCTGGTTTAGTCCTGGTTTAGTCCTGGTTTAGACCTGGTTTAGACCTGGTTTAGACCTGGTTTAGTCCTGGTTTAGTCCTGGTCCAGACCTGTCTCTGGGAGCTGATGTGCAGTGGTTTAGTCCTGGTTTAGTCCTGGTTTAGTCCTGGTTTAGTCCTGGTTTAGTCCTGGTTTAGTCCTGGTCCAGACCTGTCTCTGGGAGCTGATGTGCAGTGGTTTAGACCTGGTTTAGACCTGGTTTAGTCCTGGTTTAGTCCTGGTCCAGACCTGTCTCTGGGAGCTGATGTGCAGTGGTTTAGTCCTGGTTTAGTCCTGGTTTAGTCCTGGTTTAGTCCTGGTCCAGACCTGTCTCTGGGAGCTGATGTGCAGTGGTTTAGTCCTGGTTTAGTCCTGGTTTAGTCCTGGTTTAGTCCTGGTTTAGTCCTGGTCCAGACCTGTCTCTGGGAGCTGATGTGCAGTGGTTTAGTCCTGGTTTAGACCTGGTTTAGTCCTGGTTTAGTCCTGGTCCAGACCTGTCTCTGGGAGCTGATGTGCAGTGGTTTAGTCCTGGTTTAGACCTGGTTTAGTCCTGGTTTAGTCCTGGTCCAGACCTGTCTCTGGGAGCTGATGTGCAGTGGTTTAGTCCTGGTTTAGTCCTGGTTTAGTCCTGGTCCAGACCTGTCTCTGGGAGCTGATGTGCAGTGGTTTAGTCCTGGTTTAGACCTGGTTTAGTCCTGGTTTAGTCCTGGTCCAGACCTGTCTCTGGGAGCTGATGTGCAGTGGTTTAGTCCTGGTTTAGACCTGGTTTAGTCCTGGTTTAGTCCTGGTCCAGACCTGTCTCTGGGAGCTGATGTGCAGTGGTTTAGTCCTGGTTTAGACCTGGTTTAGTCCTGTTTAGTCCTGGTCCAGACCTGTCTCTGGGAGCTGATGTGCAGTGGTTTAGACCTGGTTTAGTCCTGGTTTAGACCTGGTTTAGTCCTGGTCCAGACCTGTCTCTGGGAGCTGATGTGCAGTGGTTTAGACCTGGTTTAGACCTGGTTTAGTCCTGGTCCAGACCTGTCTCTGGGAGCTGATGTGCAGTGGTTTAGTCCTGGTCCAGACCTGTCTCTGGGAGCTGATGTGCAGTGGTTTAGACCTGGTTTAGTCCTGGTTTAGTCCTGGTTTAGTCCTGGTCCAGACCTGTCTCTGGGAGCTGATGTGCAGTGGTTTAGACCTGGTTTAGTCCTGGTTTAGTCCTGGTCCAGACCTGTCTCTGGGAGCTGATGTGCAGTGGTTTAGTCCTGGTTTAGTCCTGGTTTAGTCCTGGTCCAGACCTGTCTCTGGGAGCTGATGTGCAGTGGTTTAGTCCTGGTTTAGTCCTGGTTTAGTCCTGGTCCAGACCTGTCTCTGGGAGCTGATGTGCAGTGGTTTAGACCTGGTTTAGTCCTGGTTTAGTCCTGGTCCAGACCTGTCTCTGGGAGCTGATGTGCAGTGGTTTAGTCCTGGTTTAGTCCTGGTTTAGTCCTGGTCCAGACCTGTCTCTGGGAGCTGATGTGCAGTGGTTTAGTCCTGGTTTAGACCTGGTTTAGTCCTGGTTTAGTCCTGGTCCAGACCTGTCTCTGGGAGCTGATGTGCAGTGGTTTAGTCCTGGTTTAGACCTGGTTTAGTCCTGGTTTAGTCCTGGTTTAGTCCTGGTCCAGACCTGTCTCTGGGAGCTGATGTGCAGTGCTGCCTCTTGGACGTCTCCTTCACAGGCTCTCAGTCCCAGTCGAGCTTCTCTCTCGCTGAAGCCCAGAGTCATGAGCTGCTCCATCTTCTCCACGTCCGGACTCAGACGCCGGAACAGAACCTCCACCTGCGGCGCACAAACGCTCCGGGTCAGGACCGGGCCAGGACCGGGCCAGGACCGGGCCAGTCCTAGTGTAGTCCCGGTCCAGTCCCGGTCCAGTCCCGGTTCAGTCCTAGTGTAGTCCCGGTCCAGTCCCGGTTCAGTCCTAGTGTAGTCCCGGTTCAGTCCCGGTTCAGTCCTGGTCCAGTCCCGGTCCAGTCCCGGTTCAGTCCTAGTGTAGTCCCGGTCCAGTCCCGGTTCAGTCCTAGTGTAGTCCCGGTCAGTCCGGTTCAGTCCCGGTTCAGTCCCGGTTCAGTCCCGGTTCAGTCCCAGTGTAGTCCCGGTCCAGTCCCGGTTCAGTCCTAGTGTAGTCCCAGTTCCCGGTTCAGTCCCGTTCAGTCCCGGTTCAGTCCCGGTGTAGTCCCAGTTCAGTCCAGTCCGGTTCAGTCCCGGTTCAGTCCCGGTCCAGTCCCGGTTCAGTCCTAGTGTAGTCCCGGTTCAGTCCCGGTTCAGTCCCGGTTCAGTCCTAGTGTAGTCCCAGTTCAGTCCCGGTTCAGTCCCGGTTCAGTCCCGGTTCAGTCCCGGTTCAGTCCAGTCCCAGTTCAGTCCCGGTTCAGTCCCGGTTCAGTCCCGCGTCAGTCAGTCCCAGTCAGTCCCGGTTCAGTCCCGTCCCGGTCAGTCCCGGTTCAGTCCCGGTCCAGTCCGGTTCAGTCCTAGTGTTAGTCCCGGTCAGTCCCGTTAGTCCCGTGTCGTCCCGGTCAGTCAGTTAAGTCCCGGTTCAGTCCCGGTTCAGTCCGGGTCCCCGTCAGTCCCGGTTCAGTCCCGGTTCAGTCCGGGTTCAGTCCGGGTTCAGTCCCGGTTCAGTCCCGGTTCAGTCCCGGTTCAGTCCCGGTTCAGTCCGGGTTCAGTCCGGGTTCAGTCCGGGTCAGTCAAGTCCGGTTCAGTCCCGGTCCCGGTCAGTCCGGGTTCAGTCCGGTCAGTTCAGTTCAGTCCGGTTTCAGTCCCGGTTCAGTCCCGGTTCAGTCCGGTCCCCGGTTCAGTCCCGGTTCAGTCCCGGTTCAGTCCCGTTCCGGTTCAGTCGGTTCAGTCCGGGTTCAGTTTCCCGTTCAGTCCCGGTTCAGTCCCGGTTCAGTCCAGGTGTAGTCCGGTTCAGTCCCGCTTCAGTCCCGGTTCAGTCCCGGTCCAGTCCGGGTTCAGTCCCGTGTCCTACTGATGTTCAGTGATGTTTAAAGTCGCCTCAGTTTAGCTGCATGAAGTTGCAAATTATTTTATGTTGTAAAAATCGTTGATGAATTCACTTATATCCTTAAAATCTGAAAATACAATATTAAAAACTATTTGATGAGTTGTTGATGAAAGTCGTCTCCAGCTGCTCTAAAGAGTCTCACATTCACCCAGTCTGAAAACCTCTGCTCTAAAACGACAACTGCGGCTCAGGTCCAGAATCGCAGATCGGCCGATGTGGGTTTTTTGTGTCTGATGAGTTCTGCCGATATTCTTGAGCCGATATGTGGGACAGATTTTGATTAATTTTAATTTAATGGAAACTCCCCAACGGCTCTTTATTTATTACTAACTCATCAGGAATCAGTCCAGTCCCAGCTCAGTCCCGGTCCAGGTCCAGTCCCAGTCCCAGTCCAGTCCCAGTCCAGTCCCAGCTCAGTCCCGGTCCAGGTCCAGTCCCAGTCCTCCAGTCCAGTCCCAGTCCAGTCCCAGTCCAGTCCAGTCAGTCCAGTCCCAGTCCCAGTCCAGTCCAGTCCCAGTCCTCCAGTCTTAGTCCGGTCCAGGTCCAGTCCAGTCCAGTCCAGTCCCAGTCCAGTCCCAGTCCAGTCCAGTCCAGGTCCAGTCCAGGTCAGTCCCAGTCCCAGTCCAGTCCAGTCCAGTCCAGTCCAGTCCAGTCCAGTCCAGTCCAGTCCAGTCAGTCAGTCCAGGTCCAGTCAGTCCAGTCTAGTCCAGTCCCAGTCCAGTCCAGTCCAGGTCTAGTCCCAGTCCAGTCCCAGTCCCAGTCCAGTCCCAGTCCAGTCCCAGTCCAGTCCAGTCTAGTCCCGGTCCAGGTCCAGTCCAGTCCAGTCCAGTCCAGTCCAGTCCCCAGTCCACAGTCCAGGTCCAGTCTCCAGTCCAGTTCCAGTCCAGTCCCAGTCCAGTCCCAGTCCAGTCCCAGTCCCAGTCCCAGTCCAGTCCCAGTCCAGTCCAGTCCAGTCCAGTCCAGTCCAGTCCCGGTCCAGTCCCGGTCCAGTCTCCAGTCTCCAGTCCCGGTCCGGTCCCGGTCCAGTCTCCAGTTCAGTCCCGGTCCAGTCTCCAGTTCAGTCCGGTCCGGTCCCGGTCCAGTCTCCAGTTCAGTCCCGGTCCGGTCCCGGTCCAGTCTCCAGTTCAGTCCCGGTCCAGTCCGGTCCGTTCAGTCCCGGTCCAGTCTCCAGTTCAGTCCCGGTCCGGTCCAGACCTTGGAGAGCTGTTGTCTGGCCTGAGCGTCGTTTCCTTCGATATAAGCCAACAGACTCTGGAGCAGATACAGACGCAGGAACAGAACCTCCTCTCGACCCGTGTTACCCTGGAAACAAACAATAAACAACCAGAATGAGAGCGGAACTGAGCCGAGCAGAACCGGGCCGAGCCGAGCCAGTGTGAACCAGGACCACCATAACCTGGAACAAGTCCTGGTTCAGTCCCGGTCCAGTCCTGGTTCTGTACCTTGATCATGCGGAGTCGCTGTTGTTGTTTAATCCTGGTTTAGTCCTGTTTTAGTCCTGTTTTAGTCCTGGTTTAGTCCTGGTTTAGTCTGGTTTAGTCCTGGTTTAGACCTGGTTTAGACCTGGTTTAGACTGGTTTAGTCCTGGTTTAGTCCTGGTTTAGTCCTGGTTTAGACCTGGTTTAGACCTGGTTTAGTCCTGGTTTAGTCCTGGTTTAGACCTGGTTTAGACCTGGTTTAGTCCTGGTTTAGACTGGTCCTGGTTTAGACCTGGTTTAGACCTGGTTTAGACCTGGTTACCTGAGTCGTTGTTGTTGTTTAGTCCTGGTTTAGTCCTGGTTTAGACCTGGTTTAGACCTGGTTTAGTCCTGGTTTAGTCCTGGTTTAGTCCTGGTTTAGACCTGGTTTAGACCTGGTTTAGACCTGGTTTAGACCTGGTTTAGACCTGGTTCCGTACCTTGATCATGCGGAGTCGTTGTTGTTGTTCTCCGTACACTTGGAGGAAGCTGGACTCTGCTCGCTGGAGTCTCGCTCTGCCGTCGTCTAAACAGGACAGAGCCTCCAGAGCGCGATAGCACCACACGATGTCCAACTGCAGAACTGCAAAGTTATCCACAGAACCGAGCAGCGCCGAGCCGCACTTACTGTCAGGAGACAAAAAGACCCGCTTAGACCCGCTTAGACCCGCTTAGACCCCCTTAGACCCGCTCAGATCCGCTTAGGCTCGCTTAGACCCGCTTTAGACCTGCTTAGACCCGGACAGGTCCACTTAGACCCGCTTTAGACCCGCTTAGATGCAAACAGGTCCACTTAGACCCGCTTTAGACCTGCTTAGACCCCCTTAGACCTGCTCAGATCCGCTTAGACTCGCTTAGACCCGGACATGTCCACTTAGACCCGCTTCAGACCTGCTCAGACCCTCTTTAGACCCCCTTAGACCCACTCAGATCCGCTTAGACTCGCTTAGACCTGCTTAGACCTGGACAGGTCCACTTAGACCCGCTTTAGACCTACTTAGACCCGCTTTAATACCCGCTTAGACCCAAACAGGTCCACTTAGACCCGCTTTAATACCCGCTTAGACCCAAACAGGTCCACTTAGACCCGCTTTAGACCCGCTTAAACCCGGACAGGTCAGCTTAGACCCGCTTTAGACCCACTCAGACCCACTTAGACCCGCTTAGACCCGCTTAGACCTGCTTAGACCCGCTTAGACCCACTCAGACCCACTTAGACCCGCTTAGACCCGCTTAGACCCGCTTTAGACCCGCTTAGACCCACTTAGACCCACTTAGACCCGCTTAGACCCGCTTTAGACCCGCTTAGACCCAGTTTAGACCCAGTAAGAATCCATGTATCATTCGTTCATTCATTTTTCAAAATAAAACCAAAAATAAGAAAATTAAAAAACAAGTTTTCTTCATTATTTGTCTCCAAAACCAAAATGAAAAAAAAAAACAGATACTGATTGTTTTAGTCCTGGGATCAGTCCTGGTTTGGTCCCGGTCTGTTCCCGGCCTCAGTCCCGATCACCCGACAGTCTACGTGGGCGCACCTCCGGGACCGTCCTAACAGTCCTGGTTCAGTCCTGGTTCAGTCCTGGTTTAGTCCTGGTTTAGTCCTGGTTTAGTCCTGGTTTTTTCCATTTTTCATTTAAACACAAAATCACTAATCGATAAAACACACATACACACAGAGACACACACACACACACACAGAGACACACCACACACACACACACACACACACACACACACACCACACACACACACACAGAGACACACACACACACACAGAGACACACACACACACACACAGACACACAACACAGAGACACACACACACACACAGACACACAGAGACACACACACACAGAGACACACACAACACACACACACACACACACACAGAGACACACACAGAGACACACACACACACACACACACACACACACACACACACAACACACACACACACAACACACACACACACAGAGACACACACACACAGACACACACACACAGACACACACACACACCCAGCACCAACAGTTAAACATTAAATCATGTAAACTGACAGAAATCCCAGCAGGTCTGTAGTGTCACATTTAAACTCACGACATGTGTAAATAAAAGAATAAATGGGAGTGGAGGAGGAGGAGGAGTTTTACCTGAACTGCTGGTCGGCCTGCAGCAGGTGACACAGAGCGTCGTCAAACTGTTTCCTCTTCATCAGGGATCGTCCTTTCTCGTGGAAGCCCATCGCCAAAATCAGAGCCTGGAATCGATCACACGTTCAGTGAGTGAGTTCACATCCACATCAGCGTCCGGAGTCTGAGCCGCTTTGTCCAGTGTTGTTGTTTGTTTTGTTTATGTTTCTCAGTTTGCTGTGGTTCAGGTGGTAGTAGTAGTAGTA